ATTGCCGATCGAGAAGGTACTTACATAGAACCCGAAGAACATTTTGACGCATGACACTTCAACTTGCTGTCAAACATTTACAAATTATTTATCTCTAATAAAATCAATACGATATTGTTTACTGTTCCTCTAATTGTATATTCCACAGATGATAGTTACTTGACTGTTATCGATCGAACTGTTTTTTTAGTTTTGTAAATAGTGATTACTGTTACTTTTTTTTATCTGTATCTAATATAAGTAAATGTTGAATGTATATGATGAAATATTTGTAAATTATTTTATGTAGTTAAACTATTTGTATAGCACACTTTTCTGTAAATTATTTACTTACAGGCTTTGTGAATGTTTTGTCACACAAAAACTTATTCTTTATCACTCAACCAACCAAATAAAAGAATTTGTGATCGATTTTATTGTTTTATTTACATACTTTTCCTATAAACACCGAATGGATATAAATACAATTAAGAATGAGACAAGGATATGCTCTATCGGCAAAATTTCCGATTACTATGGAAAATATTTTTTCTGCAGCCGTCCCGAAAATAAAACTTTCGGTATAATTTATTAAATCGAAAGTAACATTTTGAACAACTCTTATAGTGTATTTTTATGTATGAGAGAGTAATAAAACAATAAATTATGTATGCAATCCCTAAACTGTTGATACGGGTGTTCAATGAAAAACAGATATTTGTCAACAAGTTTACAGAAGTATATAGGAAAACAATTTTAAATTGAGTATGACCACCAGGTATAAAATTTGGAGCAGAATAGAATACAATAGTTGTGAGGGTTACTAATCCCTAAATAAGGTTGCCAGTTTCGGAGTGATGGAGGTTAACAGCTACTAATGAATTTACAAGAAATGTAAGATGTTTATTTTATTGGTTATATATAACCAATAAAAGTTTAATAAGTACCTACCTATTTGCAAAATAAAGTTTAATTCTTTACATAAAATAAAACGTTTTATTTTATCTGAAATGAGTGCATTCCACGAAGTAAGGGTTTCAACAATCAAACATTTAATTCTTTAATTCCAGGAATCTACGACAGTAATTGATTAGATAATTACCTTCTAAACTTATTCCACAGAAAATGTGATAGTGGGTTTTTCCATTTTGTAGGAAGGTCCAAGTGGCGTATTGAAAATTCTTAACAGTTCACTAAAAGTAGGTAATTCAGTTGCAAGGTGCAGTTTATTGTGTATACTAGTGTTATGGAAAATTTGGAAGTGCCCTGTAAACGCCGAAAAATTGGTCCTTTAACAGTTAATGAAAAAACATTAATATTTAATTGTTTTAAATCATTTACAGACAAACGTTTATGTGAAAGTGTTGATGAGACCGTTGAGTTAGTTAGCAGTACACTTGGTGTTGGGAAATCTACGATTTACAGAGTTATTAAAGAAGAGAAATGTTGTAGTTTTCAAATGCCACGTAATGCTCCAGGGAAACCAAAATTTCAAATAGAATATCATTTTAAAGAAGGACTTCGACGGAAAGTGCATGAATTCTTCTTTAGACAAGAATCTCCAACATTGGATAAAGTTCTTGTCTGAGTTCGAGATGATAAGGAGGATCCAGAAATGAGTCGAAGTATGTTATGGAAACTTTTAAAAGAAATAGGCTTCCGCTGGAAAAAGAATCCCAGAAAGTCTATTTTATTAGAAAGATGCGATATTGTCATATGGAGAAGACATTTTCTAAGAACCATAAAGGAAATGAGAAACCAAAAAAGAAAAATATTTTATCTTGATGAAACATGGATCAACGAGGGTCATACACCAAATAAATTTTGGCAGGATGAAACTGTTACAAGTCAAAGGCACGCTTTTGTAAATAACTTATCTACTGGTTTAAACCCACCATCAGGAAAGGGACGCAGGCTGATAATAGTACACATTGGCAGTTCAGACGGTTTTGTTGAAGGTGGTTTATTAACTTTTGAATCAACTCGTAGACTACCATGAAGACATGAACGCTGATGTCTTTCAAGAATGGTTCGAACAAATGATAGATCTTCTTCCTAAGAACTGTGTAATAGTAATGGATAATGCAAGTTATCACTCCAGACTTATAGAAGGACTGCCCACAACCAAGTGGTTAAAAAAAGACTTGCAGAATTGGCTGAGTTCAAAAAATATTACGTAACATCCCGGATCTATAAGAAAGGAACTTTATTCGTTGTGTGCCCTTCGTAAAGAAAAATTTAAAAAATACGAAATTGATGAAATTGCCAAAAATCGTGGAATGACAGTACTTAGATCCCCACCATATCATTGTGAATTAAACCCGATTGAACTGGTATGGGCACAGATAAAGAGTGAAGTTTCAAGAAAAAATACCACTTTTAAAATTCATGATGTTAAACAATTGTTTTAGGAGGCCGTAAATAATGTAAAACCTGAAAACAGGGAAAAGGCAGTAAATCACACTATTAAAGAAGAGGAAAAAATGTGGAAGCTGGACAATATTACTGATAAAATGAACGAGCCAATTATTATAAATCTTGGTTCTGAAAGTTCATCTTCTGAATCTGATTTGGATTTGTAACAAGTAGCTGTAAGTTTTATATTAATATTTTTATTCATCTATTTAATATACCTTAGACGGTTTTAAAAACTCTTTTTCTCTTTTGTAATTTTTAAAAATAAAAAAAAATGTGAATTTTTTAAAACCCTTTTTAATGTAGTCAGTCAGTTCTAATATAGTGTGTGATAAAAGAGGTCACTTTTGTTTCCATACACATAACACTTTATAACACTGAAATAATTCATTTATTTTTTACAATTATTCAAAGTAATTTTTCAATTAATCTTGAGCACGCCCATCGAGTGGTCGAAGGTACCAGTTAAAATTATGCTAATTACTCTCTCGTTCATAAAAATAAACTATAATATAAAAGAAATTTCTACGAAATATCACGACTAATTAAAATAGATGCGGAACAAGTTGCACCGTTCGTCAAGAAATATTTAATCGTTAAGATCGTTCATCATCATCATCATTCAGCCCATACTCGTCCACTGCTGAGCATAGGCCTTCCGTATTTCACCCCACAAATTTCTGTCCTGAGCCGCCTGCGTTAAGATCGTTAGTGCAAACAAAAGAAAACAAAAGGAAAATCAGTTTCAGGAACTTTTAAGTTAGCTTCTACCTCGTCGTCGTCTACTGGATTTCCAAAGCCTAGTTCGGGAGGAAAAAAGAAAATGGAGGAAACAAAAAACCGAAACAAACTTCTATTATTGGTAAACAGGCAAAATCTGTAAAGAAAATTACGCACGTTAAGAAAGAAAAACTGGCCAAAGCCAAGAAAGTTGAAAAGAAATCAGCAGCACCTAAAACCAAATATTTGTCATGTAATGTATTTGGTCTATTGTTGAGCTAACAGGGACAGGAACAGCAATTGTCAACAACAAACAAGGAAATAGTTGAAGTACTTCAAAAAATAAAGAAATGTAAAGGAGTTAAACCATATGATATTTCTGGGGAAATATGAACAGCTTAAGAAGAGATAGAAACAAGTTGGTTAATAGGTTTATTAATAGAATTATGGAAGTGGTTCAAATAACAGACGAATGGAGGTACTACCTGTTTACAAAGACAAGGGCTCTATATAACAATGCACAAACTATAGTCAATAAAACTACTTAGTCACATCTTGAAATCTGTAAGAGGCTAATTGATAAAGGTACATGATAAGAAACCGAAATTTCCTAAAATCAGTTTGAGTTAATGCAAGGTAGAAAGGTAATTTTGAAATAAATTTTTAAAACAATGAATACATGTAGCCGAAATCAGAATGCTTAGGGTTAAAAGCAAAGAAAATAATAATTTACTGATATAGTTTTCCTGTTCCAATCTAGTTTTAATTGCAATTCATCTACTTATTTTATAAAACCTCCAAGATATTAAAAAATATATTTTTCATAAAAACAGTACTACAATAAAGAACACATTTATTTATGATCAAGAATGAATTGTTTTAAATCCACCTATTTTTGTGTACGAATGTTCTAATTAGTAACCTCTAATTAGTAGGTGGTACTGATAAATGTAGTAGTACTACCCACAACTCATAATTCGTCAAAAATATCCGATAGTAGCGATTGACATGATTCATTACCAACTAACGATGAAATAAACAGTTTAATGGTATTGGACAAAGTTTTTCTGTTTGTGGAAGTGACTAATGAATCTGACCTATGAATTTCTTCATTTAAAGATAAAGTAAAAATTCACTCAAAGAAGCTTATTCAGTACAATATATATTATTATACACTAAAAAAATCAATAAATGGTTAATCAATAAAAAATTATCTATTGTTAATAAAATTAACATAGGGACACAGATTTAATTTTTAATCTTTCTTTCAATTAGAATTTAGTTTATTATAGTTTTATGTTAAGAAATTATCATAAATTTTTTATTCATTCTAATCCACCTGGTTTGGGTTATAACTTAGAAAAAATTGTGTTAAAATAAATAGAAGAATATTGCAAAGCCAAATAATATTCAATTCTTATAACCATAACTTGACAAAAATTGCTTTATAACCGTTTAGTCAGAAAGAAATATCTAAATTGTTAATTATAAAAATGAAAACTATCATATCTTGTGGATCTGGCGACATAATAGGGGTTATCATAAAATTTATAATTGATGCAATAATTTCCCCTTTTATAAATAAACTTAAGTAATGCGCCGCACCCCAAAAGTGTTATGAAACTTTAGAAACTCATTAAATGGTACAAAAATATTTAAATTTGTTATTCATGTATTGTTACTATTCCTTCACTAATGACCTGCATAGTTGTTGTGATTAATTAAATAAAAAAAATTTCAAAAACGTTCTCCGGAATATTAGCCATTCCATAAATCTTACATCACAAACGTTTTGGTTTATCTCACAGCTCGTATTATATTTGTTCAAAAAACCAACAGATTGGGTATATATAATAAAGGCATTATGTTTTCATTGAAGACGTCAAATCGATGTTCTGTCAAATTATTAAATACATTTATGTTTATCGAAATTTGTAATGAAAACTGAAACATCCAAAAGAAAAGTGGACATATTTTACCCATGTTCGGTGCATTTGCTCACCAATGGATCAGTCGTAGATTGCGAATACAAATTGGAGAACATAGGCAACGATCTATTAGATTATATTTGTGAGTATCTGCATGTAGAACAAAAGTGTTACTGGGGGCTGAGGTACGTAGATGAATATGGACAAAAACATTGGTTGGACGAAAATAAACTAATCCATTCTCAGGTGAAGAACACAAGTTTGATGCATTTCTATTTTAGAGTTAAAATATATCCGCCTGATCCATATAAAGTTTCTGATGATGAGGCCAAGTACCAAATATTCATGCAGCTTAGACTAGATTTAGTTAGTGGCAAACTAGGATGTAAGTCCTGCGATGCAGTTATGCTGATTGCGTTAATACTACAATACTCTTGTGGAGACTTTGACGACGAAGTGCATTTGGGCAATTATGTTCAAGAAAAAATTGTCATGAACCAAACTTTCAGTATAGAAATGAAAGCTATAGAAATACATAAAAACTATTTGAAAGGTATTACCATATATCAAGCAGAAGACCTTTTCCTGCGTATGGCTTGTCAACTGGAGACTTATGGTGTGGAACCGTATCTCGTAGAAAATATTTACAGCGACAAAATGACTTTGTGGATTAATTATAAAGGAGTAGCAGCTTATAAAGGAGGAAGGGAAGTGCACAAGTTCGACTGGATGTCTATATTAAATGTTACTCAAGAAGACGATAGATTAGTACTAAATTTAACTACCGAAGATAGCATAAAGTTTTACTGTTTCACTACAGCCCAATGTGATTACATTTACCAAGCAACGTTAGCTGCTTTTGCATATTTCACCTCGATTAACAGAAAAAACATTGCATCTCAAGTTCAAGATAGAGAAGATAGTCTTAAAAGTGTTGAAAGGGTTGAGGTGGGTTCAGAAATAGAAGTCTTAAATTCCAGTATTATTTTAGATAGCTCTTCTTCATTGGTGATTATATACAAAGCATGTACATTGTTTAAAAAATTTCGGTATCTTCTATTTATCGCGATGATGTGCATTTTTATAAAAGTTTTTCGTGTTATTAGCTGGGGTAGTCCTGAAATTTATAGTCAGAGAACCTGGTACCAGAATTATCTGTACATTTTTAATTAGACCTTAAGAAATAAAATATGTACAATCACTTAAATTTGTTTGGAATTGGAAAAAACATTTTGGTCTGTCTACGTAAAAAATCAAATCACAGGCGTAATCCTCTTCTTTATACTATACTAGGGTATTTGTATATAAAAGTTTTAAAAATATAAATCTTGGAATATTTACTTGTAGCGGAGTGCCACAAAGGTACACTTTAGCGGACGTAGGAAATTTCGACACTAAGCAGGTAGCGACTAAAATTTAATGGCAATTTTCGACACCAGCCCCAATTCCCGTTTTTATCTTACAGGTATATTCGACACCAAATAAATATAGCTGCGACATAAATAAAATACCATAATTAATTAATTTATTTATTTTAATAAAAGTAATGTGCATTTTATTTCTTTATAATTGTAATAATATCTAAATATAATACAACTAGTACCTAATTTTTGTACATTTAACCGTTAATATACTTGTATACAATGATTTATTTGCTGTTATAGGAATGATAAGATACAGCTTTTATAAAATCTAACCTACGTATTTGTTGGGATCGTAGTGTATCCATCATTTTCTCCAAAAATGCCAATTTAGCCTTAACAGTAGTATCTTTGATTTTTGCTGGTACATATATGTAAACTATTTATTTTGACATAAGTGTCTACTTGAAATTCTTTTAACTTTTCAATAAAAATAAAAATAGAAGGATGTGTTGAATAAAAAGAAGAATTAAATCTCGAATGAAAGGATTCACAGGCATTTGTGGTCCTCGCAATAGACAGATTCTGATTAGACCATATGTGTGGTGGAAATAGAGCGCTATCGAAAATGTAATTTTCCAGTAAATAATCTGCATATATATCAAATGTTGCGTTTATAGGTTTATATGACATTAAATCATAAAGAAATCATTCTTCAACTTCTGCTGGATTTAAATAAGTTAAACCAAACGTATGCCTTAACCATTTTCCAATTTCTGAATTTGTATCCTTATATTCTTGTACCAAACCCAAAGATTGAATTTTTTAAACCAGTTTTGGTGTAAGTGAAAACGGCATCCACTAATTTTTGCATTGGGCCACATATACAATAAAGCACAGTGAATTGCTTAGTCAAAGTCCACAAATATTTCAGTTGGCTCTAATGATAATTGAAATGTTTCAAAAATCTTAGACCTTAATAAAGAAAATAAATTTTTGTATGTCATTGACAATTTGTCCTTTAACAAACAGTATGCTAAAGGAACATAATGTCCATTTTCCAAGCCATGTATAGTAAACAATTGTAGAAAATATTTGGTACTGTATGAAAATGTACCATCCATATACCTACAAAGTTTTTAATTTACACAACAAACGAATATTTGTCTCGCAATCAAATACAATTACATTTAATTCAGGATGATTTAAAAACAAAAAACTTTCATTGCGACAGGTTTTAGGAGAATAATTACTAACCGCGTTATGGACTTCTGATAATGCTTCTTGGTAACGGACCTGGTAACAGTTTACGACGACAGTTGTAAATGTTCTTTCTTATGCTAGCTATTTTAGGAACCGTCAGCAAATTGGCATCACACTCAGCAACAGCCGTTCTTGTAATTTTGGCAGGCTTTTCCGATATGTTCTCTTGGGCTTTTCTTTTACATGCATTGGTTACCATCTTTACTTCAAGCTTTTTTTGGATCGGCTTCATGATTATATACCAAATCACTTCTTGTGATGGTGAGGTCCTCACAGCCTATTGTAAACACTTTTGCGGAACACTTAGTGTTTCTTTGGATGCAGCGCCAAAATATCTCGCCGCTTTTTAACACTTTCTGTTTCGAGAACGAATGATGCTCCACCACTAATAAATCTCGACCACGGGAACTTTTTATCAAACTCATTTTTTAAATATTTGTATACGTGCACAAGTCAACGTCAAACAAGAAATAAATTACAACTGAAATAATTTAGTCACAAGTACACAAGTGCCACGCCCCCCGCCGTGACAATAAATATTGGGAAAACCCACTTGTCCTGCTTGGGTGCAAATGTCCATCGCCGCTAATTACCTACCTACCTGCTTTATGCCTCGGTGTCGAAATTTCCTATAATAATATTTGACCCTTCGATTACCCCAAGTACAAAGACAATTTGGTGTCGAAAGTTCGCCCGCCGAATTTAGCTAGTTGACTACAAGGCCAATCGACATTAAGCGGAAAAGTAGACGAGTTAACAGAAAAAATTGGGCAATATGTTATTCAAATCAGCCGGTTTAATATCGTTAGAAATCAGCGAATCAAAACTGCAGAACAAAAGTACGATACAATAAAAAAATACTATACAGAATGATCGAATTTTGTGACGAAGTCCGTTATATCCATTATTATTAGATTGCGAAACAAGAAAGTCTTAAAAAGAGGGAATGAGAATTACTCAATTTGATCAAGTTACAAAAAATTTGGACCATATCCTGGGAGGAAAAAAACGCAATCTATTAACTAATTATCCAAGAAAAGAGTGAGGACAAGAGCGGAGTAGGTGGCAAACAAATGTCGTGGTTACGGAATATAAAAACTGGACAGGCATAAATAACACTGGTGAGCTTTTGAGATAATTCGCCAACTCACTATAAGAATAAACCCAGAGAATGTTACCCTGCGGTTTCTTTGTTATCTGATCTACTACTAACAAGAATACAAAAGTACTAGGCAAAAGTGAAGCAACTATGTTAATTTCCTTCATCTTGAAACATTAACTATTTTATTTTTAATCCTTAACTACTGACGTCGATGTTTCAGAACGTAGACACTCACATGGGGTATGTCATACCCCTGCTTATGCTCCTTTGTTTTCAATATGAATTTGTCTCATATCACTGTATTTGTTTTTTACATCAACTACGGAGTCATTCTTCATACTCCTGTAGAATAAAATACTGCTCCAAATAAAATAAACTTTATTTTTTCAAAAAAATTATGAGCGCTTGCATAAATTAAAAAAAAATGGTGGACGTTGTTACAAAATCCTTTAAAAATTGAGTTACAAAAAAATTTGAGTATAATTACACACCACTTGAAGGTACACAAATGGTTTTCTAGCAATCTTTTATAAAACACGTTTTACAACAAAATACAGGGTGAGTCATGAGGAACTTTACATACTTCTACCATATGTAGAGTCCCTCAGGGAGCATATAATGTGGCCACTAAAAAATGTCAACTCCTCTTCTTTATTAATTAACAGGGTGATTTGTGTAATTTACAATTTATTACATTTTACTGTACTGTTTATACGGCTCATTTGATTTTTTTAATTTTTGCATGATACAGTACACTACTATCAAGCATTCGACTGGTATTAGCTAAACTAAAAAAGTCCAGGACTGGCTTTGGAAAAATTAATTTAGGGATTCGTATTAAATATTACACCCTGTATATATATTTTTTTTTAAATGCAATAAGTGATTTTCAAAGTACATAAATAGCCCATGAAAACGACATATGCGACAATGTTGTCGCACTTTTATTAAATTTTTAGTGAACGATCAAATCTTACCAAAAATAGAACAACCATAATGAAGTATCAAATTATAAGGTAATTAATTTAAACAAATGTTATAAATTTCAAACATTTTAATTGAAATGATAAACTGAGTCACTTCACAACAAAAAACAGTAACTACTAACAATAACGAAGAACAATTAAAAAAAAAACTAAAAATATGTATATAGTTATGATAAACCCATAAATTAGAACTGGAAAAGATACAATAATGGTAACAAAATAAAAATAATTCAAAATAGATTTATGAAATGGAACCCTTGCTGAAACAAATGTTATAAATTTCAAACATTTTAATTAAAATGAGTTCCTACAACATAATCTAATACGTAGAAAATTAACATCTTTACTGTTACTTTGTATTATCTCTACGATAGAATCAATTGTTTTTCAATTTTAAATTTTTACTCATAGATCGTATTGGGGCATTATTTTCGATAAATAATAAATTAAATTGATTAAAAAGTCAAACCTCTTGTATGTGTTAGTTTTTGTTGATTGTAAATGATTAAAATTTTATGTCAAATAATAATACATTACATCAACTGTACTAAATAAAAATAAATCTAAAAAAGTTTAAAATGAAGGTTGGCGTTGAAGAATACATATTTCTTCTGTCATATCTACGTTCAGTACATTGTGTTAGTTTTGGTAGAGCTTTTGTTACTTTCGTTCAAAATGCCTCATCAGTTTTCGACCACAGAATATGCAGACATAATATTTGTTTATGGATTCTGTAATGGGAATTGTAGGGCTGCTAGTAGAGAATATCGCAGGAGATTTCCTAATCGTCGAACTCCCAGTCATCCAACATTTGTTTCAGTTTTTAATTATTTGCAAGAAAATGGCACTTTTTCTAATGGAACAACAGAGCGACATGTAGATGAAGCTCAGGAAGATGACATTATGGACGCCGTTACTATGAACCCTACAATAAGCACTAGACAAGTAAGGAGAGAACTCAATGTTACTGAATCAAAAGTAAGTAGAGTCTTACAAAAAAATAATCTATACCCATATCACATTCAAATGGTTCAGCGACTACATGCTGGAGATGAGAGCGATAGGTTGGAATTTTGTAGATGGATTTACAATAATCGACCAACGCTATACAGGACACTATTTACAGATGAAGCCCAATTTACCAGAGACGGGATAAATAATTCACGAAATTCACATGTGTGGGCAGAAGAAAATCCCCATGCTATTCGAGAACGTCGTTCTCAGTTAAGGTTTTCGGTTAACGTGTGGATTGGTGTCATAAATAACCAATTAGTAGTTTCTCAATTTTTTGATGGTCCTTTAACAGGGCAGGTCTATTTGAACTTTCTACAAAATATTTTGCCGAATTTGCTTGCCAACGCGAACGTTGCTATCCGAGGGATGTATTTTCAGCATGATGGGGCACCCCCACACTTTTTACTGGCAGTGAGACAACATCTCAATAATGTTTATGGCAACAGGTGGATAGGACGTGCA